TAACCCTCAATAACCAGGCCCAGGAGGAAACAAGTAATTTACAACTTCTGAAAAAAAATCTATTCTTAAATATTTATAGTTTTGATGATAAAGTATAGGTTCACTGTTCAGTTTAATGTATTAATGTTCTGATAACTAATGACAGTTATTAGTGGAGTTACATACAGGGTGTTTGCAGAGCAAGGGCCTAAGAGTGAATTCAGACACATTTGGGGAATTCTGGAAGGCCAGCAAAGTAGACCTTTGGTGTAAGAACCATCTGATCAATTCCAATGTAATGTTTATAACTTGGTTAAGAAGTATTCTCCATTGGAGGCCGGGGCAGTGGCTCACGCCTGTAATCCCAGCACTTTGGGAGTCCGAGGCGGGTGGATCACCTGAGGTCAGAAGCTCAAGACCAGCCTGGCCAACATGGTGAAACCCCGTCTCTACTAAAAATACAGAAATTAGCCAGGTGTGGTGGCGGGCACCTGTAATCCCAGCTATCAGGAGGCTGAGGCAGGAGAATCAATTGAACCTGGAAGGTGGAGGGTGCAGTGAGCTGAGATTGCGCCATTATACTCCAGTCTGGGCGACGGAGCGAGACTCTGTCTCAAAAAAAAAAAAAAAGTATTCTCCATTAGGAAGCTTCCTTTCACCTCCCAGGACTGGGTTAGATGCTCCTATATAGGCTTCATAGTATCACTAGATACTATGAAGACCCAACCCTGAGCCATCATATTTCTCACAATATACCCACCACACTGGTGCAGTTCTTCAAACACCAAAGAACTAAAGCTTCAGGGCATTTGCATATGTGATCAGTCACTTTTCACACTGCTAGCTTTTCATTTTTTTAGGTTTCAGCTTAAATGACACATCTTCAGAGACTTCTTCTCACCCTGATTCGATAGAATGCCCATCCTCAACTACTTGTTCTAGTCTCTCACCACCCTGTTTTCTAACAGCTATCAACAATGTGCAATTACTTGATCTTTTTTACTCAGATCTTTTTCTGCTCTCCCACTAGAATATAAAATCACAAATCAACGAGTCTGCTTTACTTATCTGTGAATACCCTGGAAGTGACCAGAACAGAATCTTCTCCCAGGCAGGAAGATTATGCCTGCCTGGTTCACCATCGTGTCCTTAGCACCTAGCATGCACTGAGGCATTTAATAAATGTTTATTGAATAAATGAACAAACATATAAGCTCCTCAAGAAATACTTATTATCGGGAAATGATCTGAGAAAGCAAAGGTTCTCTTTTTGACCCTACATGTTCAGATTCCTATCATTCAATGCTTAGTTTTTATGTTGCAAAGCATCTCTTTTGGTCACTTTCAATTTGGGAGGTAGAGAGACCAAACCAAACCAAAGAAACTCATACTCAAACAATCCAGAAAAACCTACCCACTGTTACAGGTCCTGTGATAGGAAGAACAATGGAATCTTGGTTATAACCCAGTGCCACAGTGCTCTCAAGAGCATTTCCAGTTTGTCTGTCTCGTGTTTCTAAATAAACAGACAATATCTGTATAGTTACCTTAGGATAATGAAAACCTGGCAAACGAGTTGTCTAGAGTTAAAGTTGTTGTTGTTGTTGTTTACAATAGCTTACAATGATCTGGATGGCCGGAATAAACCTTTGCAGAATATTATCTTTACCAATACTGCCTGCTAATAATATTAGAAAAGCTAATAATGTTAAAACAAAACAAAAATAAAAACTACAACTTCTCAGATATAGATAAAACTTTATTTATACGTAAAAAATTACATTCAGGAATTCTGTTCCTAAAAACATTCTCTTAGTAAAGCTCAAAATGAAAAGGTTGAAAGGGGCAGTGAACAGCTTTTTAACTGTGTACACACTGCAGTCACAAGCAATTTTTTAAGCTGCAAAAATCACCTCTCCTAAGTAGCATGAGCTTTTGAAACTGAAGACTTAAATCTCACGATGGCATCAAAAGCTAAAGCAAAATAAATCAATATTCTGAAACAGAAGACTTGGCTGTCGATGTTAATGGGGTGCTATCTCCAACCACTTTCCATCATGTTACTTCTTCCTCTTAGTTGTAACTCAACAAATAACTTTTTCTAATAATACCTATCACTGCATGGAAAAAATGAAAAGAGAAGTGATAAGGGCCTCCTATTAGTAGTTTAATATTAACATTATCTACCCTCAATAAGAAACAAAAAATGCCATAATGTTTTAGGATAAAATTATTTATATAATAATCATTGATCTATTCTAAAGCATGTAAGCCTTGGTACCATGCAAATCACTTCTTTTTTTTTTTGGAGATGGAGTCTCACTCTGTTGCCCAGGTTGGAGTGCAGTGGCACGATCTCGGCTCACTGCAACCTCTGCCTCCCGGGTTCAAGCAATTCCTCTGCCTCAGCCTCCCGAGTAGCTGGGACTACAGGCGCACGCCGCCACCACGCCCGGCTAATTTTTTATATTTTAGTAGAGACAGGGTTTCATCGTGTTGCCCAGGCTGGTCTCGAACTCCTGAGCTCAGGCAATCCGCCTGCCTTGGCCTCCCAAAGTGCTAGAATTACAGGCGTGAGCCACGGCACCTGGCCAACCTCAACTTCACTTCTAAATAAATTGTTAATTCAAAGAATCATTCAGGCCAGGCGTGGTGGCTCACACCTGTAATCCCAGCACTTTGGGAGGCCAAGGTGGGCAGATCACCTGAGGTCAGGAGTTTGAGACCAGTCTAACTAACATGGTGAAACCCCGTCTCTACTAAAAATACAAAAATTAGCCAGGCGTGGTGGTGGGCGCCTGTAGTCCCAGCTACTTGGGAGGCTGAGGCAGAAGAATCACTTGAACCCGGGAGGTGGAGGTTGCAGTGAGCCGAGATCACGCCATTGCACTCCAGCCTAGGCAACAAGAGTGAGACTCCATCGCAAAAACAAAAAACAAAACAAAGAATCATTCGATGTTAAAATGATAAATGTCAAGTGGTTGCTACATCTAAACAAGATTAAAAACTCTTAGATCAGGGCTTTTCTTTTTTTTTTTTTTTTCCTTTTCTTTTTTTTTTTTTTAGAGCAAGACTTAATTTACTATGTTGTGCCCAATACAAAAAGGATTTCATTTATCTGGTAAGGCGGTCTTACTAGGGGTGTACCCACCATCTGTCGTGTTTTGTTATATCCCTCCTTACTTCCCCACCTGCTAAACCAAATAACCCCACTATTTACTTACCAGTAATGTGGTTACTATTTGAAGCATCTAAACCTATTGGAGATGACAATTTAGAGAGCTGGACAAAATCATATAATTTCAAGTATAATAAACTTAAATGGCACCTTCGATGGTACGAACATTGAAAGTATCTGCTCCATTATATGAACTTAGTGTTGCTCTTTTTTCTTCTTCATTTTTAAATTTCAAAAGAGGTCACATTCCTATGATACTTGGCCAAAAAATGTAGGAAATTAAAAGGTCCTTATTAAAATGTCTTCTGCCAGATGGAAAGGAGACTTGATTCAGTTAGGTCTTTTGCAGCTTCGGAAGTGGGGAGGGATGAAATAAAGAACACCTTTCCATCCTGTGCAATAACTACTTTGTCCTTCAATACTCTTGTATTGGGATTAGTCTCTCTGTGGGGCAAAACAACCTCTGAAACTGGCCTTACATTGTGTCAAAATTATCCTCAGGTTGGCACAAAAGAGCATTAGCTCCAAAGCCAGTAAGGTAGTAACTTCTGGAAGCATTAGGCGGAAAGCAGAGGTTTCTCTCCTTTATGCCAAGGTCATGGTCACTCCAAAGTTGAGGGATGAAACAGTAAATATATAATACAGAAATATCCCTATTCTCTTTAAATGAGAAAAACAAAGAAAAGTAAGTATCCAAAGATAACAGTTTTACTTTAAAAAATACAAATTTCTCAAAAATATGTTAAGAATTTACATAACGAAGAGGAGCTAGAAAATAGTTTTTCCTTTCATTGGGAAAAAATTATAACAAATAATATTAATGCAATGGAGATACTCTTGTACAAAATTTTGTGTTCAGAAAATACTGCTCATTAAAAATGACATTTTTGGTCAAAAGGTAGCTCTGTTCAATTTTGAGTACGTAAGAAAGTTTTTCAATTTGCTTAGGAGAATAATTCATCTATTTATTTATTTATTTATTTATTTATTTATTTAGAGATGGAGCTTCGCTCTTGTTGCCCAGGCTGGAGTGCAGTGGTGCGATCTTGGCTCACTACAACCTCTGCCTCCCAGGTTCAAGTGATTCTCCTGCTTTAGCCTCCCGAGTAGCTGAGATTACAGGTGACCGCCACCACACCCGACTAATTTTTATATTTTTAGTAGAGATGGGATTTCACCATGTTGGTCAGGCTGGTCTCGAACTCCTGACCTCAGGTGATCCACCCACCTCGGCCTCCCAAAGTGCTGAGATTATAGGTGTGAGCCACCGCGCCCAGCTAATTCATCTTTTTAATAGCAACGCTCCTTTTGCTATGGTTTACACTGATGCCATGGAAAAACTATATTGTACTGTTATTATTAGAGGAAGAATAATTTGTACCATCATATAAATAGTTTACTCAGTTTTCATAAAGCTTACAGGAACTAGGAATCAGAATCTTTTTCCATTAAAAATTTGTGTCTCGGCTGGGCGTGGTGGCTCATGCCTGTAATCCTAGCACTTTGGGAGGCCGAGGCAGGTGGATCACCTGAGGTCTGGAGTTCGAGACCAGCCTGGAACAATATACAGTGAAACTCCATCTCTACTAAAAAATACAAAAATTAGCTGAGTGTGATGGCGCATGCCTGTAGTCCCAGCTACTTGGGACACTGAGGCAGGAGACTTGCTTGAACCCAGGAGGTGGAGGTTGTAGTGAGCCGAGATCACAGCACTCTACTCCAGCCTGGGTGACAGAGCAAGATTCTGTCTCTCAAAAAAACAAAAATAAACAACAATAAAAATTTGTGTCTCATCAAAACTAGAATACTAGTGGAACAATTGGGATTAATCTGCAAGAAAATATAACTTATAGAATTTCCATTTATTTAACAATAGTTTAATAGTTTAAATAAAATTTATCATCTTATAAATTTACCATCGTAAGAGGCAGTGCTTAAAGCATTACAAACTTATAATACTCCCAATTAGGAGGGTTATGATTATAAATTTTCCATTTCCATTTTTGTATTTAGGGATTATAAATTTTTTTTAAAAGGCTATTCACGATTGATATGACCCCCGTAAATTAGCTAAAAAAAAAGGTTATGACCCCATATATTAGCTACAAACTGTTAAGTACAGTATATAAATGAGTAAAGTCAGATTGTCCCAAAGCAAAGTTCCAGGACTCAGAAAGCTTTGGTTGAGATCATAGAGACTAAGTCTTACAGATTTCACACTGCCAACAGTTAATGGCATATCTTGTCCTGATTGCCTCCCCTAGAAATACGAACTATTAAAGTTGGAAAAACCAAAATAGTTTTCCCTTAGCACATGAGATAACCCAGAGATCTTTCTGACTTAAAAACAATTAAAAAAATTAAACAACAAATAAAAAGCCCTGAGTACTAAAACAAGAAAACTGATTACAAAACAGGCAAAACCCATACCCTCTATTTTCAAGTAAATTTGTATTCACTGGCTGCAGTTTAAAGGGAAATAACAACACATTTCAAAGTCACGGATTTACAGGAAGGACTTGACACACTGACTCCAGGGCAGGTTAGGTATATTTCACGAGGAGGTCCAGGCTGTGGTAGAGATTTGGCAGTCAGTCCTGACCAGACCTTAGAGGGTACTTGTGAGACACCACAAAAATCAGGGGGAATGGAAGCCTCTTAAAATAATTATTTGAAGAAAAGCCCATAATTCCCCATACTTCCACAGAAGCTAAAGGCACATAGAATATCCTGTTCTATATAAGAAACATTTGTTTTATGTTTCCACATGACCTTAAAAGGACACAAAGAACAAGGTAAATCTGTATGTTTTTTAAGATTAAAATAATCTCTAATCTTAAGAAGCCAAAAACAAAGAAATAAAGATGGACAAAGAGTATTCTTCAACTTTTCTTCATTGCACAGGGAAATCCCCCTGAGGTAAGAATAAGAAAACTCAGTAAGTTGGAAAATATTTATAAATTTAACTATATTTCCCTCAAAAATCACATTTGAATATTGATATAGGTTTCATACAATTAAAAATCATAAAGATTTGAAGAAGCAACCTCAGCTTTTATGTAATTTCTTTTCTTTTTCTCTTTTTCTTTCATTTTTGAGACGGAGTCTCTTGCTCCTGTCACCCAGGCTAGAGTGCAGTGGCACGATCTCGGCTCACTGTAACCTCCGCCTCCCAGGTTCAAGCAATTCTTCTGCGTCAGACTCCCAAGTAGCTGGGATTGCAGGTGCGTGCCACCACACCTGGGTAATTTTTTTTTTTTTTAATATATTTTTATCAGAGATGGGGTTTCACCATGTTGTTCAGGCTGGTCTCGAACTCCCGACCTCAGGTGATCCACCCGCCTCAGCCTCCCAAAGTGCTAGGATTACAGGTGTGAGCCACTGGCCTCTTTTTTTTTTTTTTCTAAAGAGACGAGGTCTCACTTTGTTGCCCAGGCTGGAGTGCAATGGCATAATCACAGCTCACTGCTGCCTCGAATTCCTGGGCTCAAGGGATCCTCCCGCCTTAGGCTGCTGAGTAGCTGGGACTGTAGGTGTGCTCCACTGCACCTGGCTAGTTTTTTGTAGATATGGGGTCTCACCATCTTAAGCAGGCTGGTCTCAAACTACTGGGCTCAAGTGATCCTCCCACACTGGCCTCCCAAAGTGTTGGGATTACAGGCGTGAGCCACTGCACCCAGCTTTATGTAATTTCTTAATTACCATTCTGAACCCTTGTCAGATTGGGCTACGGATGAATATTGGAATAGTTTTGAACCTTAACTTATAGGGGACCTTTCTAAGCAACAAACATTTCCTAGTTGGGATTTTGTTTAACATACAAACTACCAGCAAGCCTTTCTTCATCTTTAATAAAGTGTGCATATTTACTCAAGTATCAGATCACACCTTCCTTTGCTATTTCTCATACGCTGAATTTTTATTTTAACATTTTTAATAGCAATGCCCTATTAGGTTATTATGAAGGAAAGGCTATTTTTCCAGTAAGCCATATTTTTCATCCCACAAGGCTGACTTTTCAAAAATCACTGTTTACTTACAAAAATATATAATTTTTAATCTATTATAAAAGGAAATAGATTTGAGCACAATATTAAAGACAACAGAGTATTTGTAAAAGTTCACATTGATCAGTATTAAAATATACCTCACTGAAATATACTTACTTATAAAAACATATTGCCTTTGCCATGTGAAAATCTGGTGTTTAGTTCTCTAGATTTTTTTATCAGGGCCTTTTTCTGAGCTTCATCAAACCGATTAACCTTGAGATCCTTATCACGGTCAAATGGTATTCTCTCTTGAGGCTTATTTTTGTCTTCAGCCGCCTTACTCTTTAACTTTTTATGATGCATGTCCATAAGAGATTCTGATCTTTTTGATTCCTGGAGAGAGCAGGAGAGCAGAAATAAAAACTATAGTTTGTATAGATTATTGACAGAATATGATCATGAAATGGCATAATTAGATAGTAATGGTGCACATTAAGGAGGGTTATTTACAAACCCCAATAGTTGTTTTTTTTTTCCCCCAAATCCAAGACAGCATTTATAAAGAAAATATGCAATGAAAAGCATTATGGTTATTTAAATACTAAACATCAAGTACAAACCAAGAACAGGGGTGTGAAAGAAAGAGCAATCATATTGTCACTTCATAGATGTGCTGGTCTTTGAAGGCTAAATGGATGAACAGGAAGGGAAGGCACTGTCAGGCTGAAGCAAAAACAAAGGTAAAAGAAAAGTAGTAAGAGCACGGATGTGGCAAAATTCAAGGCCTGTGCAGCATATGTTGGCATGTTCCATAACCTAAGATAATTTTTGTTCCTTTCAGTTTTCTTTCTCTTTTTCCGTTAATTCCCTCATTTTTTTTTTTTTTTCTTCTTAGCTAGGGTAGGTGTTCACATTTTCAGATGTATCTAGTAAGACAAGGTCTCAGCAAAAACAATTGATTTAATAAACTAGGGATTGATTACAGACCTTTGAGTATTGACTAAGGTAAAGGACAGAACAGTCCTGGATGGAAGGAGCAGGGAGGGAGATGGAAAAGGAGATGCTGGTAGTACAGACCAGCAGCCTTCAAACTGGGGTATACGTATCCCTGGGGGCTACACAGAGTAGCGTCCATGCAGTATGAAGGCATGGGTAATTTTAAGGTTATTTTTCCATGGTTCTCTACTTCTTCGTATAGTCTTTCTTACAACTGATTTGGTCTAGACTACCTCTTGTGAAGATGCCATCCCTTTCATTATAGCCCTTTCTCATTTAACAAAGGAGACTATATAATATTATTTAGGAAAGCATAAGTCTTCAGGTTATGAGACAAAAATCTAAAATACCGGTATGATTGAAACTTCCTTTAATCAAGAAACTGTAAACACAGGAGGGCTCTGTGTCCTTCTGTGTCTGAAACACATTTCTCCTAAGAGCGTAGGGTCCTTTAGAAATGGGTTTTTTACCTTTTATTGAAATGTTCTGAATTCAGATATATTGAAGAGTGGATAATGGAAGAAAAGACAATTTTTGCTTAACAACCATACCTTTTCCAGGCCCTTCCTACTGCCAAAGAATGTACTTGAGGGGAAAGGAGTGAAGAAAGCTCAGTAAAAGCAAAATAACAAGGCACTAGTAAAAAATGCTGAAAGTGACAGTATCTTATTTTATCCAGAAGGTAAAAATGGCACCTAGATCAGAATTCAAAGTATCACATGAATGGTCCTAACACATTTGAATGGAAAAAGTGAATCAGAAAGTCTGGTCTGGCTGATCTGACAACCAGAAATGACTTTGTCAATTAGATTATGTGACAGACATGTTTCGTAAATTAACTGAACTCAATCTGGAGCCATAAGGTTTTAGTAGAATGTACAAAAGATAAATTAGTAAATATGTATTTAAATTGACACCATTTGCATTTTCCCATTTCTGCTCAATATACTGGGTTAAGCAAAGTACTCTTAATTATTTTATAAATATTGATAAAGTCTTTAGAAACAAACTGATTAGCAAATCAAGTGCTTTCCAGTTCTTTATGTTCAACAAAATTGAAGGAGGTTAAAAAAAAAATCATCAAATATTGCTAAGAAAAAATAGGTAATCAAGGTTGGGCGCGGTGGCTCACGCCTGTAATCCCAGCACTTTGGGAGGCCAAGGTGGGTGGATCACCTGAGGTCGGGAGTTCAAGACCAGTCTGACCAACATGGAGAAACCTTGTCTCTACTAAAAATACAAAATTAGCCGTGTATGGTGGTGCATGCCTGTAAACCCAGCTACTCGGAGGCTGAGGCAGGAGAATTGCTTGAACCCGGGAGGTGCAGGTTGCGGTAAGCCAAGAGCATGCCATTGCACTCCAGCCTGGGCAACAAGAGCAAAACTCTGTCTTAAAAAAAAAAAAAAAAAAAAAGGTAATCAATACATGGAGCATGGACAAATAAACTTAAGTTCCAAATTCAGAAAAATCTGCATTGTAATGATGGTCCTGCTACTTTCAACACTGGTAACAATGGGCAAGTAATTTAAGTCTCATTTCCCCAGCTATAAAATGGTAGTAGTCATAATGATAATTTCTAAATATTTGAAGGAAGAAGGGAGGAATTAAATGATCTAATGAATACAAAGGATTTAGTACAGTATTGGCTATATAAGAAACAATAAATCAATGCTAAATATTAGATTTATTGAGCATTTACTATATCCTCACAATGTATTTGTAAATTAAATGTTGTTATTCTCATTATACAGACTTGGAAAGAATGAGAAAACTTATTAATAGGATCAATGTGGAAAAAAAATCAAAGGAGATCCTAATGACTTGACAGTTAAGAGACTATTAATAATAGTTTTTGTAAATAGATCAATATGAGGTTTAAGAGAATAACTCAAATTGTTCAAAGAACTGAATGACATCGCTATAACAAAATAGGTTCATTCTCATTCACTTCTTTATAAAAACCTGGCTTCTTAACTCTTAGAAGTATAAAAAAATACAATTGATGGTAAAATCTGTCTTAATTTTTTTTGTTTCTATTTTTATTTCAATAGCTTTAGGGGTACAAGTGGTTTTTGATTACATGGATGAATTGTACAATGGTGAAGTCTGAAGTTTCAGTGTACCAGTCAACCAAGTAGTATACATTGTATGAAATCTGTCTTATTCTGGCAATAAGTAACATTCATCCAAAGACCAGGAACTAACTAGAAAAAAAGTCTTTCATTAAAAGAATAAATTACATTTACATTTTACTTTTTACAGAGTCTTGCTGTGTCTCCAGGCTGGAGGGCAATGGTGGGATCTCGGCTCACTGCAACCTCTGCCTCCTGAGTTCAAGTGATTCTCCTGCCTTAGCCTCCTGAGTAGCTGGGATTACAGGTGCCCGCCACCATACCCAGCTAATTTTTGTATGTTTAGTAGACAGGGGGGTTCCACCATGTTGGTCAGGCTGGTCTTGAACTCCTGAACTCATGATCTGCCTGCCTCAGCCTCCCAAAGTGCTGGGATTACAGGCATAATCCACCATGCCTGGCCCTTATGATGAAAAATGTTAGATGTCAAATTAAAAAATACACAGTTTTAGGGCCAGGTGTGGTGGTTCACACCCGTAATCCCAGCACTTTGGAAGGCCAAGGCAGGCAGATGACCTGAGGTCAGGAGTTCAAGATCAGCCTAGCCAACATAGTGAAACCCTGTCTCTACTAAAAATACAAAAATTAGCCAGTATGGTGGTATGTGGTTGGGAGTCTGAGGCAAGAGAATCACTTAAACCCAGGAGGTGGAGATTGCAGTAAGCCGAGATCGCACCACTGCACTCCAGCCAGGGCAATGGAGCAGAGCGAGACTCAGTCTCAAAACACACACACACACACACACACACACACACACACACACACACACACAGAGTTTTAGGGGATACCAAGAGCGAGACTCAGTCTCAAAACACACACACACACACACACACACACACACACACAGAGTTTAAGGGGATACCAAGCAAAAACACTTGAAGATTGCTGGTCTCCACACACACACACACACACACACACACACACACACACACACACACACACACACACAGAGTTTTAGGGGATACCAAGCAAAAACACTTGAAGATTGCTGGTCTCCAGCACTGACGGGTTGAAAAGAAATATAGATTGCCTGTCCTATCATAGATTTAGTGAATCAAAACTGCCAACTGTGGGTCTCAGAAACCTCGCTTTTACTGCCCAAGTTCTGATAGAGGTGATCCATGGGATGTGGAACTCACTTTTGGATCATTCTTTCTAGTAGTTTGGTATTAATAGGAGATAGGATGCCAATACAAAGGAGTGTAGTAAGGTGAATTTTAGGATGGAAAACCATATATGTAGCATTATATGTATGTATAAATGTAAAAAAGCTACACTATCAAAACTTGATCTTTTAGCTCCATTTCTCCACATTTCTCCTTCCTTCCTTGCTTTCACATCTTTCCTTGCTAATGAGATAATAATTCCTTAGTGAGGTGGTAATGATGAAGGTTGACAGGCTAACAAGAGTTGGAAGGGGAAAGCCTAAATATATAACAAAGACCTGGAGAAAATTGAGAACAAAGTTTGAGCAGATGTGTGGAGATGTGAGAAAGAATGGAGTTGTAGGGATCTAACTACTTTACCTAAAGCCACTACTGAGGAAAATGATTTATAACAATGAGCAAAATTGTATGTAAGGTAACAAAAAGCAAACAAAAATGGAGAAATAAAGATGTCAGGTTTCAAGGTACTGATTATTCCTTATATTAGCAAATGAACCATCAATAGAGACAGAGGAATACATTAAATCACTGGACTATTATTATACAATCAATCCAAACAATTCAAGTGCTCAAACTCATGATGATAAAAGAAATAAACTTTTATATCAGTTGTTTCAGGTGTACTACTGTTGGTCTGATTTAGGATAATTTGCACATTGTGACACACAGGAACAAACTAGAGCCAAAATATAATAAAATAATAAATAACACCTAGAAGCAGTCAATTCACTGAAAATCAAAAGCTGAAAGCCGACTGATGTAAGAGATTAATCTGCTAAATGACTAACTTGCTGACTTACCACATTTAATCATTTAACATAAATGTTTGCATTTTCTAACAATATACAATACTTACAGCATTTTTTATTTATTAAAAAAATTTTTTTTTAGAGACAGGGTCTTGCTCTGTATAGACCCTGCAGTGGAGTGCAGTGGTGTGGTCATAGCTCACTGTAACCTCAAACTCCTAGGCTCAAGTGATCCTCCAACTCCAGCCTCCCAAGTAGCTGGGACTTCGAGTGTGTGCCATCACACCTGGCTAATTTTTTACCTTTTTATTTTGGTAGAGATGGGGTCTTGCTATACTGCCCATCTCTTGGCCTCAGAAGATCCTCCCGTCTCAGTCTCCCCCAAAGTGCTGGGATTACATGTGTGAGCCACCATGGTTGGCCAACAGCAATTCATTTTTGAATAAGATGTGTTTGTAACGGCTTTTGAAAACTAATGCCAAACTTCTACTTGATTGGTTTTTGTCTTCATTAAAGTATTTTAAAGACTGCTCGATTTATCAAAAGCTACAGTTTCTAGAGTGGCTTAGTCTTAAGACTATATTAATACTTTGAATAGAAAGTATCTGGAATTTCAGCTTTCAGGGTTCAGATTAGAACCCTATTTTTTTGGATGCATTTTAAAGTAAACTGTAAACATCACTACATGTCCCCCTAAATACCTAGGCATGCATTTGAGTTCAATATTTGTTTTTATATATATATATTTTTAAGATGAATATACATATGATAAAATACATAAATATTAAGTGTATATTCAATGAGTTTTATAGCTCAAAATCCAATCCAGATCTGGAACCTTTCTATCACTTCAGGCATACGCTGTTTCCTAGTCAAATTCCATACCCCAATTCCAACTACTAGCATTCTGATTTTTTTCCCACCATAGATGCATTTTGCTTATTGTACAGCTCCATATAAACATAATAAGAAGTATGTACTTGCTTGTGTAAGACTTCTTTCACTCAGTATGACTTTGAGATTCATGCATGTTGGATTTATTTGTAATGTGTTCCTTTTTATTGGTGAGTAGTTTCATTTATACCACAGTTTGGTTTTCTTTCTCTTACTGATCAACATTTGAGCTGCTTACAGTATTTAACTATTATGAACAAAGCGTCTATGAACATTCTTGGGTAAATTTTTTTGAGGCTATTAAGAATAACACGTTCAACTCTTTGTGTGGATGTGTTTTCATTTGTCTTAGGAAAATACCCAGGAGGAAAATAGCAGGGTACGTGTCTGTTTAGTTTGATAAGAAATGCCAGTTTGGAAAAAGGCTTAGCTTATTTATCTTCAGTCATTGGTCTTTTCTTACATAACTCATTATGGCTGTAAATTTTCCCTCTAAATACCACTTCATATGGCATCCCACACATTGTGATATGTTGTATTTTTGTCATTCAGGTCTACATTTTTCTAATTTCCATTATCATTTTTTCTTTGATACAAAGTTTAAATGTTGAGTTTTTCTGATTTCCAGTTTTTTTTTTAATTTTTATTTTTTTTGAGACAAGGTCTCGCTCTGCTATCCAGATTGGAGTGCAGTGGCACAACCATGGCTTGACTCAACCAATCGGTCTGCCTCAGCATCCCAAAGTGCTGGGATTATAGACATGAGCCACTACAACTGGCCATAGTGGGTTTTTAAGATATTCTGAATCCAAACTTCAATTCTTTGTGGTCAGATAATTTGGGTTGAATGATAGTAATTCCTTCGATTTTGTTGATACTTGACTTCTGAGCACCTGGTCAGTTTTCATAAATACTTCAAGTGAGCTAAGTTTTTGGTCAATTTCCAAAAATGTTTTAAGCGTGCTTCACTGTGGTACTGGTCAACATATATATAATAAATCAAGTTAACTATATTTTAGAGCTTATGGAATTTTCTTTAATACACTGGGAACAGAAAATAATTTTCCTAAACACCTTTCAGGGACCAATGGGTTCAGTAATTTACATTTATTCTTTGAGCTGGGACATTTATCATTTTCCTTTTCTTTTTGTACAGGCACCATCCAACATTTGCCTTTTTTTTTTTAAGACAGAAGATAACAAAATAATATGCCAAATGAATACTGACTGTTTAGTTTATAAATTTAGATTGAACTACATTCAAAAAACGTTTTTTCTCCCATATTTTAATATTTACATCCAACATTCCAAATCTGTTTATAATGTAAACATTTATAAATGGAAGATCTCCATGAGTGAGCAGGGGTCTTGCTTTCTCTCATCAAGTGCTACCTATCTCTAATAATTAGATTTCTGCTAATTTAATATGTAAAATGTGAATTGGAAATATCTGTGAAAAACACAGAAGAATTTTATAAAAACATATATATATGCAACAGAGTTTATTTCAGGATAGATGTATAAAAAGTACATGGTAAAGAGGTAGACATATAAAAGAAAGAGAAATAAGCAAAAGAGAAAAAAATAAACACAGAACTAAAAGATAGGGGGAAAAGGGCTATATATTTTGTTTCTGTTTTTTTTTTTTTTGAGGCAGGGAGGCTTTCAAGTGATCCTCACAACTCAGTTGGCTCATTAAAAAAATATGTTTTTAGAAACAAGGTCTTGCTATGTTGCCCAAGCTGGTCTTGAACTCTTGGCCTCAAGTGATCCTCCTGCCTCAGCCTCCCAAGTAGCTGGGATTATAGGCAAGAGTCATCACACCTGGCTCTATATATCTTATTTTCTTACTTACATTGTATGAAGATACCTGCTCAGCCAGTCTCTTATCTCTTCCTGATAATATATGTTCTTCATCTTTCTTACCGGATGACTTCCTTGCTTCTTGTGTTTCCTGAGGAATGAACACAGATAACACACTACTGAATCATAAAATTAAGATAAAACAAAAAATAAATATTATTTTTACTTAGATTAAGTAACAAGAGACACAACTAAGCCAGGTTTGTGAAATCCCTTCTGATTAGAAATATTAACATACTTGGCCAGGCGTAGTGACTCACGCCTGTAATCCTAGCACTTTGGGAGGCCGAGGCAGGCGAATCACCTGAGGTGAGGAGTTCGAGACCAGCCTGGGCAACATGGTGAAACCTCATCTCTACCAAAAATATAAAAGTTAGCTGGGCGTGGTGGTGGGCACCTGTAATCCCACCTAATCCAGAGGCTGAGGCAGGAGAATCACTTGAATCTGGGAGGCAGAGGTTACAGTGAGCTGAAATCGTTCCACTGCACTCCAGCCTGGGAGACAGAGTGAGACTCGGTCTCATAAAAAAAAAAAAATCAAAATATTAACATACTTGATAAGGGATCAGTTACTGCTCTAGTCTATGATTTTCTTGAAAACAAGGAAAAAAAAAAACCACCCCACTCAACCTATTTATTGAATTCAGGATGAGTTTGACTAACAGTGGTGAGAGGTGGAAGTGAAAATAAGGCTTAAAAAGATATCCTATATTACTGTTTTCTAAAATAATAAAATCACCCTGTAGGAAAACAAACAAACAAACAAAAAACAAAGAAAAGGAAATAAAAGGTGTACATTTTGGAAAAAAAAAAAAAGAAAAATTGTGTTTATTCACAGATCCTAGCACTGTGTAGCAAACTGTGGACTGTGTAGCAAACTCCAAAGAATTTACCAAAAAACTCCTGGAACTACTAAGCAAGTATAGCAAAGTTGCAGGATACAAGATCAATATACAAAATATAGCAGCAAGAGGCTGGGCATGGTAGCTCACACCTGCAATCCTAGTACTTTGGGAGGCAGAGGCAGGCAGACTGCCTGAGCTCAGGATTTCGAGACCACGCTGGGCAACATGGTGAAACCCCTGTCTCTACTAAAATACAAAAAATTAGCTGGGCGTGGTGGCGAGTGTTTGTGGTCTCAGCTATTCGAGAGGCTGAGACACAAGAATTGCTTGAACCTGGAAGGCAGAGGTTGCAGTGAGCTGAGATGGTGCCACTGCACTCCAGCCTGGGCAACAGAGTAAGATTCTGTCTCAAAAAAAAAAAAAGAAGAAGAAAAAAAATATATATATATATCAATATCAGCAAGAAACAACTAGAATTTGAAACAAAACTATCATTTATATTAGCACGCACACACACACACGAAGTGTCTAGTCTAACACATTTTATTTAGAAAAAATGTTACAGTAATATTCTACAGCATATGCTCCCAAGCAGGAATGGGGAGGGCCCATATAAAAACTACTGAAAACCACTCGTCTCTAAGCATATTCTTATTTTTATTTGCTTAGGAGGCCTCATGGACTAAAACAACACTGTATTTAATAAAGTAAGTTAAAAACATAGAAATAGTTCATTTCTACATTTTCCCAGAAAATAGATGTTTTACTTATAAAAAAAGAAAAGTGATGTTATGATACAATGGAGATAAAAACCTAACCATTTAATATTAAGAGGTAGTAGATATTGTCAAGACTGGAAAGTGAGGACATAACTGATCTCATTCAATTAATGTATGTAAAACACTTTCAATACTTTCTAAAGAGCAATCTTTTTTTGTTTTTTTTTAGACGGAGTCTCACTCTGTCGCCCAGGCTGGAGTGCAGTGGCACAATCTTGGCTCACTGCAAGATCTGCCTCCTGGGTTCATGCCATTCTCCTGCCTTAGCCTCCCGAGTAGCTGGGACTACAGGCGCCCGCCACCACGCCTGGTTAATTTTTTGTATTTTTAGTAGAGACAGGGTTTCACCGGGTTAACCAGGATGGTCTTGATCTCCGGACCTTGTGATCCACCCACCTCAGCCTCCCAAAGTGTTGGGATTACAGGTATGAGCCACCGTGCCCCGCCAAGAGCAATCTTCTTTTAGGCCATATTGGCTAAATTAATGTGAGAACAGTAGAGGTATGAGAGGTATGCTGGAAAATCAAATATAAGAAGTAGGATGGAGTGGAGGGAATCTATCAAGAAGGAAATATGGCTAAGATCTGTTATAAAAATTAGTCATGAACTTTACACAGGATCAAAGACAACAGAAAATGAATAGCTCTGTGATACTATATAGTTTGTGACATAAATATATGTGTGTGGTACTATATTCTGTAATGTAGTGTTATATACAATTTAAGACTTATTAATAATCCCTTTATGAGTCCACTGTAAATACTAAACAAAACATTTCAGCACAGAAAAGAATGACCAGGTCTAAAGAACTCAGTCATAGGGATTAAAATCTCTTAAGTTCAAACAATATAGCCTGGTTTCCATGTGTTCCATTATTCCATGATATTTTCCTCCAAGGAAGACTCCCTACATATCTGGTTGTAAGCTAGACATCTATTCATCTACAATGAGAAACAGGATATAAAAAAGAACAAATAAATAAGGACACAAATAAAAAGGCATGTAAGCAAGGGAATTAATTGTCTTTTTGGAGACAATCTTAAAGGCTAAATTATAAAAACTGCAATAAATAATTATTATTTCAAAACCAGCTAAGAAATAATAGGCATTCCAACACCAGCCTTTCAAGGTTTTTGTGGCTCTCTTGGATCCACATCCTTTGCTGCCTCTCCTGCCCCTATGTGTGTTGGTTCGCCTCACCTTCCTATTATAACTGTCAGATTCTCTTTAATCTTAGGACAAAAAAGAAATTATGCATAATGTTGCTACTATGCAGGCAGGGTGCTCAAGTGTGGAGACTGCAACACGCCCTCCACACTTTAATGGTACCACTGTTTATTTCACAGGCAATTCTCCAGTAAAATGGAAAGTCCTTAAGGAGCTCTTGCCTCTTTCTATCACCTGCAACGAAATACAATTCCTGATAGAACAGGAAAATTGATCATTCCAGATTGAAAACAGAAATCCTGATAATTCTAGGTACTGATGAGTAATATAAACAGAGCTAGTTCATTCCAGATTGAAAACAGAAATCCTGGTAATTCTAGGTACTGATGAGTAATATAAACAGAGCTAGTGGAATGAACTAAGTGTGGAACTGCTTTAGTCAGAACTGATGAATTTATAATCATAAGGTGACAATTAGTCAAGCATTTGAGAATTGAATGGGATGTCTTACAGAAATTAAAACCTTCAGAGAGAGGCTGCGCATAGTGGCTCACGCCTGTAATCCCAGCACTTTGGGAGGATTGCTTGAGCCCAGGAGTTTGAGACTAGCCTGGACAACACAGCAAGGCCTTGTCTCTACAAAAATAAAAAATAAAAAAATTAGTTGTGTGCCTGCAGTCCCAGCTCCTCAGGAGGCTGAGGCAGGAGGATCACCTGAGCCCAGAAGTTTGAGGGCTGCAGTGAGCTATGACTGCGCCACTGCAGTCCAACCTGGGTGACAGAGACACCCTGTCTCTTAAAAAACAAACAAACAAAAAACCAAAAAGAAAAAACCAAAACCCACAGATGGACTAAATTGAAGGAGTAGTACTGGGGATACTGGTTTAATTCCTAATATACAATGAAATATTTTGTAACAGAAAAAGATTCAAGAAGAGAAAATTAAAAATAATGTATTTTATGCATACAGATTTTTTTTTTTTTTTTTTTTTTTTGAGATGGAGTTTTGCTCTGTTGCCCAGGCTGGAGTGCAGTGGCACAATCTTGGCTCACTGCAGCCTCCGCCTACTGGGTTCAACTGATTCTCCTGCCTCGGCTTCCCAAGTAGCTGGGATTATAGGTGCATGCCACCATGCCCGGCTAATTTTTTTATTTTTAATAGAGACAGGGTTTCGCCATGTTGACCAGGCTGGTCTCGAACTCCTGATTTCAGGTGATCTGCCCTCCTTGGCCTCGGAAAGTGCTGGGATTACAGGCATGAGCCACTGCGGCCAGCTGGTATTTTTTGGATAACTTAATGTATTAATGATAGTGGTTCTTGTCTATCTTGACAGTAACATGAAGTTTAGTGCACCTGAGATACGGTCATTTTGAGAGAGGTCCTCTAGGCACCATTTAATTTGCTTGGTTAATCTGCAGCATTTTTTTTTTTCTAAAATATTTTAAAAGATATATGATCATAAAGATAGTATGGTGTAAAAAGACCAGGGAATCTGGTCTTTTTGACCAGGTCTAAAATGAGATTGTTTTTCATCACTTACTAGCTTTGTGACCCTAGAAACATTGACCTCATAGAGGATAGTTTCTCCATCTATAAAATAAGGTCATTATACCTATGTCTCTGAGTTTTCCTGAGGTTTAAATGAGACCGTTTATTGGGAAATAGTAAGTAAACAGCAAGCAACTGGTGTCAGTTTCCTTCCTCATAATCTTGCTCCAGAGGAAAATCTGCATTATCCTTTTGGAATCATAATTTTAAAAAATAGTACCCTTAAATAATCTTGCATTGTATCTTTTCAAAATCCAGCCAACATGAACAGAAATACATTAACAAACAAAGCGTCTCACCTTAGCTTTCCTTTCCCTATCAGCTGGAGTATCTGTCCAGATTGATCGATCTCCAGATGTGTCATCAGCTCTTCTCTTAAAAGTCCTTGGCCCAAGACCAAAGTCTTTCATTTCTGGAGGAAGTTCAGTCATCCATGACTCTCTTACGATGGGTTTAGATGAATCCTTTAACAGAAAAAAAGAAATGTAGCATGGAAAGTATGTATCGTGTATAAGATGAGTACATATGTATGTACAAGCAACTATGTCATGCAATTGAAGTTTTAAAGTTACTTATGTTTTTGTCACATATGTTTGTCACATACGTTACAAAGACTTTCATCCAATTTGTTACTTTTCTTTTATAGTTTCTGGGTTCTAACTCCTAAATTAAACAAAAATGTTATACCTAAAAACAAAATATATTAAAAGTTAAATGGTTTAGTGTTTATTTCTAAAATTTAGATTTTTAATCTATTTAGTGTATTTCTTAAAGTGTTTTTAAAACTTACATCATCTCCTTTGGTCAGTTTTTCTTTCATTCTCTCAGCCCTTTTTTCAAACTCTGTCGTTACGTTATAGTTAACTGGTCCTTTTGCAGGCATTGGTCCAATAATATCCTCATCTTCACTGCTGTCTGTTTCCTTTTAAAACAAGACATTATCTTTAAACCAAGAGCAGAGCTACAGGTATAAAAAATAATTCTAAATTACCTGCATTTAACTGAAACTTATTATCCATAAAAAATTAAAAAGTAAACAATGTATTGCTGGCTCATCACTGAACCATGGGGACTTTTTCCTCACCTTCCTCAAGTGCCTAGCACAGAGATGACAAATCCATGGCATGCAGACTCTCTCCCACCTCCCACCTCTCTTCCTGTGTCCATGACAGACCTCACTCTCTTCCTGAAGGACATAGATGTAGACTTAGAGCTCTTCTCAACATAGTACAATAAGTAGACAATTATATACTGTGTTGTGGCTTACTCTAACACACACACACACAAACACATTCTTAATAACTATGGATTTTGGCATATACCTCATTAGATCCTTGTAACAAAACTGTAAAATGGCACTATTTCTGGTTTCTTTTTTTTTTTTTTTGGAGGAGACTTAGACTTAAGAGTGTAATTAGAATAAACAACTTGTCTGATTTTATAAAACTATTATCTAAGAATCAAATATTCCAAGATCAAGGCCAGTATTTTTTCTATGTATATAACAGCGATCCCTCTATCATTTTATCTCAACTGTTAGTGATTTAGCTTTAAGTGTTTCTAGCTTATATCTACAATAGTAAGCTTTCTGATGTTACAGACATTATGTTAAACATATTTATAACCCACTACAGATATAAATATTTGGTGACGCAAAATGTTCAGATATAAAAGCTATAATGAAATTTTAAAACTATGAGACATGAAAACAGAACAAAACACTAAGTCTAAGAGTCATGGCACCAATACAGTATTAGTGGAATAAGCTAATGATAGTCTCACTTCCATCTTAATATGAGATGGTTTCATAAAGGTGGAATTTCAGCATGTCCTGGTAGGATGATGCCTGCAATTTTTAGAAATAAGTATCACTTATGTTCAGGGGTAAATAAAAGCGGAGATGGAGAAGCAAACAGAAAATTAGGCCAAACACACTAAACTGAAAATCAGAAACAGAATAATATGCCCAATTCCTCTCTATGGGTATTAAATTATTTTGGTGTCCTGGATGAGTTATTTCTTTAAATAAAAAAATGTTGCACATTTTATCCAGAATTACGATAGAAATTAGGTACCCTATTGATTTATATTTTGGGCTGATTTTGTTGAAGGCCTCATTTGCCATTGTACTAGCCCTGTGACTTCAGGCATGTTATTTAACCTTTCTAAGCCCTGGTTTTCTCGTCTTTGACAAGAGAATTATAACAGCTTCTACCAATAACTATTGCCAAGAGAACCCTGCATTTTGTTTATCCTCTTTAAAGCCACACCCTTCTCAGGGAACTGGGACCTTCTCTAACACCTGGGGAAAAATATTGATAATTCTAGGCCAGTCACAAAAAAAAGTATAACTATTGTATGGATGTGTTTACAAAATATTACAAAGCAGTCACTTTGGTCTTCTTCTTCTTGCTCAGCTGACTGGTTTAGGCATGGACACATGACACAATTCTTGGGAAATAAACACAAAAGGTCTATAGGAAACTGGTACAGGTTTTCCTTCCTCTACAAAAGAGGCACAGGGAAAGGACCAGTCCTCTTCTGTGTCTGGACACTGCTAGCTGCCTTTAAGTCTTAGAACTTTGGCAGGCTTCTTAGTATGATGAAGGCAGTCAGCCTAAGTCTTAGAACTTTGGCAGGCTTCTTAGTATGATGAAGGCAGTCAGCCTAAGTCTTAGAACTTTGGCAGGCTTCTTGGTACGATGAGGGCGGAATTAACATACTGTTAATTCTCTTATAGAGCAGGAAGGTAGAAAAACTGGAGCCTTGGATGATATCATGAGGCAAATGAATTAATCAAGCTTGGAATCATCTTGCCTCTTGACCTCTTATTATGTATGAAACATATTTTCCTTATTTTGAGAATACAGAACATATATCACCAAGTAAATTAACCCATTTGCTAACTAAGTAGGTTAAGATAAAGTTCCATTTTGAGTTGGATTTTCTGTTATTTGTAGCTGAAGGCATTCAGTTGATACACTACCTCCCTGGATTGTTGTTTGGATTAAGTTAGGTTTATACTGCTGTTGCAGTGTCTGGCTTGTGGTAAGTGCTCAAGAAATGTCAAACATTAGTATTATTATGTCTTAATTTGGGGGTATATGCCGGGAATGAGGCTAAGAGAAGCCTATCTTTGAGAAACGAAAATCTCAAAACTGAAAAAGAAAGGTCTTTTGAAAAAGGTGCAATTAAAGGGAAATTATAAGTCAAACAATCAGAGCGAGAGTATTTCACACATGGACCTACAGTGTAATCTCTCTCAGCCTGACCCTCGCCTTCCACCAAAAGAAGCTAGGGAATGTAGAATGTGTACCACCTAGGAAATGATGTAAGCTATGCATTTGCTAACTAGGTAGGTTAGGACAAAATTCCAAGGGCGAATAATGCTGAATTATGCTACTCCTCTGAAAATTTTTTCCCCAATTTTTTATTTTGAAAAATTTTGAACCTATAAAAAAGTGCTAAGATGAGTACAATAAAGACCAATATGTCCTCACTCAGATTTACCAACTGAGTGGCACATGTCATTTTAACACATTCATTTTTTTGGTTTGTTTTCTGTCCCTCTCCCCATGAAATAGACACACACACGCTTTTATTCAGAACCATCTGAAAGTAGGTTACAGATAGTATGACAAGGCTCTAGGCAGAAGCAAATTTCCTTGCCACCTTCCTAGGGACAGTGGGTTACATTTCTCTAGTCCTCTAGTCCCCTTGTCCTCCTTTTACAGACACAGCAGAACTTTGAGGCTGCAGGCTTTATGTAGGGGGCTCAATTCAATCTCCTCTGGCTGAGTGAGCCAGAAGCCAAGGCTCCTGTTCCCAGATTCTCTGGGGTTTATGACTGGGTTCTCTAAAATGACTGTGGTTCCCTGCTGTGTAAACCTGTGTCTGGCTTTGAATTCCCTTAATGTTGTTAGTATGTGTGGATTTTCCTTTCTTCCTTTTGAGCTTTGCTGTATTTTAAACTGGTTGTTATTTTCTTTCTTCCCCTAGCACTCCTTTGTGTTCATGGCGGGGAATGCCTAGCCTGACGATGTCATCTCAGTCTTCCATATGGCTGGAAGTCCTTCCTCTGGTAATTTTTTCTTCAACACCCTTGTTAGAAAGGATTCCTCATACTTAGCCTAAATTCTTCAGTTATGCTCATGGCATCCATAGTGGAGGCAATAAGAACAATGGTAATAATGAGAGCTACTTTAAGTTGAATACCTACTGATGGTTTGGCTGTGTCCCCACCCAAATCTCATCTTGAATTGCAGTTCCCATAATCCCCAGGTGCCATGGGAGGGACCAGGTGGAGATCATTGAATCATGGGGTGGTTTCCCGCATCCTGTTCTTGTGAGAGTGAGTTTGTTCTCACAAGATCTGATGGTTTCATCAGGGGCTTCCCCCTTCGCTGGGCACTCACTCTTCTCCTTGGTGCCGCCACGTGAAGACGGACATGTTTGCTTCCCCTTCCGCCATGACTGTAGGTTTCCTGAGGCCTCCCCAGCCATGCTAAACTGTGAGTCAATTAAACCTCTTTCCTTATAAATTACCCAGTCTTGGGCATGTCTTTATTAGCAGTGTGAAAATAGACTAATACAACTACTACTCTGATTTAATCCTTGTAACAACCCTATGAGGTAAGTGTAATGACCTGCATGTTACTGATCATGAAGTTAAGCGTACCCAAGCTAGGCTCAATGCAAAGCTTCGAACAGCTCTTACCTACTTTCCTCACCTTCTCTCTCACCATTCTCCCTGCACTCTCCATTCTAACCATATTGAACTTCTTTAACCCTAACTTTCATCCTCTCCACACTCTCTTTTGCCTTAAGCCATCTGCTCTCTCTGGAACAATGTTCCCTGCCTTCTTTGCTGAGCTAGTCCAATTAATCAAACTTCAGGTTAGTAGACATTCACTCAAATAAAGACCTTTATTTTTTATTTTTTTTTATTTTTGAGACAGGGTCTTGCTTTGTCACCCAGGCTGGAGTGCAGTGGCACGATCTCAGCTCACTGCAACCTCTACCTCCTGGATTCAAGCCATCCTCCACCTCAGCTCCCAGGTAGCTGGCACCACAGGCATGTGCCACCATGCCTTGCTAATTTTTTTTATTTTTGGTAGAGATGCGGTTTTGCTATGTTGCCCCAGGTGGTCTTGAACTCCTGAGCTCAAGCAATCCACCCGCTTTGGCTTCCCAAAGTGCTGGGATTATAGGCATGAACCACTGCGCCTGGCTGAAAAAGACTTTTTCTCATTTTCAGATTAGATTCCCCCATCATGGTTCCATTTATATTTTGTCTCATCTTTTGAATAATTCACAATGTTATATACTGATGTATGTATTCCCCACTACCTTGTAGGTGTGATGAGGGCAGGCACTGTGTTTGATTTATTCATTCATTCATTCAACAAGTACTTCTGAATATCTGCTATATATAAGGCACTGGTGATAAGATAAAAAAAAAAAATCTCTGTTCTTATGGAGCCACATTCTAGTGGAAAGAGGCCAACAATAAACAAAAAGAAGCAGTAAAATTAATGGTTTCTTTGGTGGCAATAAATACTATGGGGAAAATTAAAGAAGGGAAGAGGAGGTTAGCATATTTTAATTTGGAGGCCAGAGATGATTTATTGGAAAGATAATATTCCAGCAAAAAAAACCAAAGGTCTAGGAGGTCAGCCACATAGATATGTAGGGGAAGACCATTTTGCATAGGCTTGGACAGCAGGCATAAAGGCTCAGAAGTAGGAGCTGGCCTGCTGTATTTGAGGAGGAACAGCAAGGAGCCCAGTGTGGTCACATCAAAGCAAAAGATAAAATCAGAGTACTAATGGAGGCCAATATAGGGCCCTAAAAGGACTTTGGCTTTGACTTAGGGAGAGGAGGAGCAATTTGGTGGTTTTGAGTGTTAGTGACATGATCTGACTTCGATCTGCCTTTGTTTTATCTGGACCCCTTCAACTTTTGTGTTGAGAAGGGGTAGTAGAGGAGAAATGGCTACATAAAGCATGAAGACCAATAAAAGGGGTGAAATTTGATGGTCACTTGGACCAGGGTGGGAGCAGAAGTGGCTGAGTCCTGGATGTCTTGTGAAGATAGGAACAAACTAATTTGTTGACAGATTCACTTCTGTGACTATGTGCCTGCCACACTGCAGGTGTTCTACAAGCATGTGTTGAAAGAATAAGTAAATGACTCTGAAATTAATAATTTTAACCACTGCATTATACATCCTTTGAGTAACAACTTCAGTGTAACTGTTGAATTCTTAGTGGAGATAAACAGGAGTCTCTGGAATATATGAATTCATATATAGGAAGGCACTGCAGTATAACAGACTGAACAAGTGATTTAAAGTCATAAGAACTGAGTTTGTGCCATGGGTTTGATCAGTAAAAATTGTGTAATCTTGGGTAAGGTACCCAATTTTTTTGGTCTTTAGAATTTGTAAGGTGCAGATAATATCTATTTCATGAAACTGTGGAGAAGATAAAATAAGGTCCACATATTGGGAAAACACATTACAAATTATAAAGTAGTCTACAAATCTCAACTCTTGTTAAGGAGAGAAACAGCCTTTATACTTTACTCCAAAGTCATTTGGTCTATCTTTTCCTAAAATTACTTATCCACCAGTGTATTTTTTTATACACAGGTACTAGAGCTTGGTTAGGAGAAAGTAAATTTCAAGGTAAAGACCATTGTTAAAAAGCTCTTCAACCTTCTCTCCTCCAGCCCACATCACAATCATTTCTTAAACTTTTCTTCATGTTCCATCCTTCTAACACTTTAAAGCCCCCCTTCAAAGATAAGAAGCATGAATAGGTAACACCCCGTCAACCCTGTTATTTTCCTAACAGAATCTCAGGTTTTGAATAGCTTTTTATTTCATCTACTTATGTTACAATCTTAAATTAATCTGAATATAACTGAGTCTTACATTACAGTTGAGTCCAGTGATTGTAGTAACTGCATGCATAAAGTTTGGAGTTTGTTACAATACATCTTATCCTTTCAATGAAAACTTTCCAAACCTTAGAGTTGAAATGGGATGATGATACCTGTTGTCCTGGATCATCTCTGCCCTTGTCACTTTTCTGTGTAGATTTAATGAAACCAGGTGGCAGTGCAGGACCTATTATGGGCCTGAAAAATAAAATGTACTTTTATCATTCTCCCTGACTTTAAAAAGCAGTTTTCAGAACAAAAGTTCACAAAAATAATAAAGCCAGATAGTAACAAATGTTGAAAATAAGAATTTTATTTAACACTTTATTTTTACTAGTATTACCTAGTATCTTTCTGCTAGATGTCTTTTAAAAACCTAATTTTCACATTTGAATTTTCTACTTGTTAGTCAATAATTAGAGACCAAGCCAGTAATTCTCAATCTTTGTGACACTGGCATATGCACACTTCCTAAAAAGAACTATATTAAATAAAAATGGCAATGTTTTAAAAAAATTGTACTAAAATCTGTGATGGTCTTTTTTTATTTTGTGCCTTGGCTTTCCTTCAGTTTTGAGATTCACTGTCCAGTGAAAGATACCTTAGGGGCATTATAATTATGGTCAGAACTACCAAAGTAGAAATCGAGTTCTTCAAGGACATATATAGCATGTGCAGACAATGCCAGCAATCTGTGGTCTATATAACATGGCAGTATTAAAAATCTATCCATTGTTCTCACTTGATAATACAGTAATGATGTGGAACTGTAGAAGAATGCAGCTAGTTCATTAAGACACATAGAAAGGGAAAAAGGTACTGTGCTAACCACATTTCAAGCAGTGCATTGGTTTCCTTAAAACAATCCTGGTCAGTGTCAGTCACTCCACCTTTAAGATGAGCAAAATCATGTCCAAGATTAACACAATTAGTAAGTGGCTGAGCTAGAGTTCAGACCCTGGTCTACTTGATGTCAAAGCGCATTTTCTTTCCAGCTGCCCTACTGCCACATAATGAGGCAACTGTCATCACTTCAGAAGACAGACTTGCCTGAATACTGGGTCTTAAAAAGAGACAGCCTTACTTTATGAAGGAAAAAATTAAAAAGATAAAAATAAAAAATAAAAAAATACCCTCTTTCATACTTTTAAGATACTTCATCCTTGCTTTTGTACCAATGTTTTTTCCATAGTTGTCACTGTGCCAGTGTTACCAACCCAGATGGAAATGAAGTCCTAAGCTAAAATTTCCAGGTTGCACCATGTTCTATTAGAACTCCACAGACAGGCATCCTGGCAGGGGAAAAAACAGTACTGACAGTCAGAAACTCTGGGCTCCCATCCTGACCATTTAATAACCTCTTGTCTTGATTCATGAAACTTCTTTGAGCAGAACAATTTGCTTATGAGACAGGGAAGTTTGGCACTGTTAAAAAGATAAAATTAGGTATCATTTATAAGCTATGAGTACAGCATAGATTTTTTCTGAGTACAATTTTTAGCAATCTACAAATGCAATTAAAACTTAACTTTCTGGCCTCAGGGGATTGGTGGTAATAAAATTACCAGTATATAAAATCTTAAAACACAGTAAAGGAATATAACCATGGCATGTTATGATACTATAAAAGGTTTATAACTCCAATATATAATGCCAGCTGTTTATTTTACACATGTATTTTATTATTGCCAAAATAATACTCTCAAGAAAAAAAATTGCTATACATTTAAGTAATGTGTTTTCTTTTTTTTTTTTTTTTTTTTTTTTTTTTTTTTTGAGACGGGTCTCGCTGTGTCTCCAGGCTGGAGTGCAGTGGCGTGATCTCGGCTCACTGCAAGCTCCGCCCCGGTTCACGCCATTCTCCGCTCAGCTCCCAATAGCTGAGACTACAGGCCGCCACATGCCGGCTAGTTTTTTGTATTTTAGTAAGACGAGTTTACCATGTTAGCAGGATAGTCTCGATCTCCTGACCTCGTGATCCACCCGCCTCAGCCTCCCAAAGTGCTGGGATTACAGCTTGAGCCACCGCGCCCGGCCAAGTAATTGTTTTCTTAAAAGGAATGTTACATCCTAGAATGTTACAACTTTCTATAAAGGGCTAGACAGTAACTCTTAGGCTTTGAAAGCCACATGTGGCTCTCTGTGGCATATCTGTTGTCGTTTTTTTAGCTACTCTCAAAAATGTAAAAATCATTTTTAGTTTGGGGTCTGTAGACTGCCTATCTCTGTATATCTAAAACAACCAAAGTTAATGGAAGTTAGGAGCTGCCAAATGTGATTATAAACTTTGAATATAAAATAAACAGCCTTTTCTGCTTGTTCTTGCATATTGGTATACGGTATTATGAAGTATAAACAATTTAACGTGCAATCTTATATTTGGCATTTAAAAATTTTACAATTCTGGGAAGAAGACAGGAATAAATATTTACTCTATACTTACTCTGTGCCAGGCTCCATATAAATTAAACACACACACACATACACACAAAGTCTAGGTATACAACTATGAAACCTCAATCATCAAAACAATTCTGTAAAGTACATGCTGTTATCCTAGCTTACAGATAACAAATTTGAGATTCAGAGAAGTTAGTCCAATTGTCTAATATGGCACATGGGGATTTGTTTCTTCTACTGATAAACAATTAAGAAAACAATTGAATTAAAAGTCAGAACATCAAGATTCTAGCCCCAGGTCTGCTACTATGTGTGTGTGACCTTATCTGTTTATAAAGTGGGGAGAGGGATGATCCACCCTGTTTACCACAAAACACTTTTGTGAATATCAAATAACAGATGTGGAAGTTTTCTGTAAACTATGAAAGTGTCATAAACATGTAAATAATTATTTTTATTATAGGAAACAACTTCTTTTCCCTATGAATGACCCATTTCAAAATGTTATATAAATATTTCAGTTAAAACATAATTTCAGACAATTCTTTAATTCATTAAAGATTCCTTAGTTAAAATATTTAAAGAAAGACTAGCCTAAAATATTACACATTATCACCTTGGAGGAGAATCATCCTGCTTTTTAAATCCAGGAGGAAGGGCTGGTCCAAAAAACCCATCATCATCATCATCATCATCATCATCCTTATCCTGATTTTTCCTCTGTTTTCTGAAAACACAGTAGTATAACTTTATGCATATATATCAAAATTTTTTTCACAAAAACACACTTTAATTTTTTAATAAAAGCATTAAATCTAGTTGTATAAACACTGCAACAATAAATTAATCTTGCCAAATAAAAACTGGATACTATGATAGTTCTTTTTATTTTTATTTTTTTATTTTTTGAGAGGAACTCTTGCCCTGTTGGCCAGGCTGGAGTGCAGTGGTGTGATATTGGTTCACTGGAACCTCCCACTCCTAGGTCCAAGCAATTCTCCTGCCTCAGCCTCCCAGGTAGCTGGGATTACAGGCAAGTGCCACCACACCCAGTTAATTTTTGTATCTTTTTAGTAGAGACGGGGTTTCACCATGTTGGCCAGGCTGGTCTCAAACTCCTGACCTCAAGTGAGCTGCGCACGTTGGCCTTCCAAAGTGCTGGGATTACAGGTGTGAGCCACTGCACCCGGCCTATGACAACAGTTCATAACTAGTCTTTTCCTGGAATTTATTTTTGGCCTAAAATACAGATTGGTTATTTCTTTACAGCAGTAATATATCACTATTCTATATTTTCTGTGGTATTAAAGATTTCCCTCAATGAAGTTTCAAAGTCTATTGGTCAGATGTTTCTAAGTAAAAAGTTTATGACTGTGACTTTTATTCTCATTTAAGGAAGGGGTTTAAGTTGCTATTTCCACCTGATAATATTTAAAATGAATTTAAAAAAAGCTTGTTACTCAATAATAAACAAAGATTTGACATCTCATTTACATAGACCCATAGTATTAAGGCTAGATTAGAAGAAAATCATTCAGCTGAGTGCGATGGCTCACGCCTGTAATCCCAGCACCTTGGGAGGCCGAGGCGGGCAGATCACTTGGGGTCAGGAGTTCAAGACCAGCCTGGTCCACATGGTGAAACTCTGTCTCTACTAAAAAATACAAAAATTAGCCAGGTATGGTGGCACACGCCTGTAGTTCCAGCTACTTGGAAGGCTGAGACAGGAGAATCACTTGAACTTAGGACAGAGGCTACAGTGAGCCGAGAGCATGCCACCGGATTCCAGTCTGGGCTACAGAGCAAGACTTCATCTCAAAAAAAAAAAGAAAAAGAAGAAATCATTAGTTTATTTAAAGAAAACATATACCGCATATATAATTTTAAGAAGAAATTCTATGGTTTATGTGCCTACTTCATCACTTCAATGACATCTTAAGAAAAATCCTTTATGTAAGAATTTTATTGGCTGGTGTGGTGGCTCATGCTTATAATCCCAGCACTGTGAGGCTGAGGCAGGCAGATCACTTGAGTCCAGGAGTTTGAGACCAGCCTGAGCAACATGATGAAACCCCATCTCTACAAAAAATACCAAAAAAATCTACAAAAAATACAAAAATTTGCTGGGCGCCTGTGGTGTGGTCCCAGCTTCTCAGGAGACTGAGGTGGGAGGATCACTTGAGCTTGGAAGGCAGAGGCTGCAGTGAGCCAAGATCATGCCACTTCACCCCAGTGTGTGCCAGAGTGAGCCCCTGTCTCAGGGAAAAAAATATATATATATTGAAATTCTAGATATCTCTATAGCTGCACCCTACTAGAATAAATTTCTTTGTAAAAGGTATAGTTCAGGATGAAATGCCATACAAAATGATTTCTCCCTGTGCTGTATAAATGGAAATTTGATATCCCCTTATTAGTTATCTGTTCCAGCCAACTTATACTAGCTCTGAAGTTTGGTCTATCATTTAATTTAATTAAATGACTGACCTTGCAGTTGGACCAGTGTCATCTTCTTCAGATTCCTGATTTCCTTCTTCGTACAAAGAACTACTGTCTTCATCGCTGTCTGATGAATCTGAACTGCTGCTTTTATAATTAGGGGGCAGAGCTGGTCCTGCAACTAAAGAAGATTTGTTGTTTGTCATCATTAGCCACTACTGTTTCAGTGAACCCTTCTAGCTGATATTTTTACTTTCTTTTCTGAAATAAACAGCACTGGCTGTCTATCATTTATTATTCGCTTTAATTTCACTTGCTGTTTTGTGTATGGTAGTTTTGTCTTTCCAGCTCTAGGAAGGCAGAAATTATGTCTTACACAATCTCTTTCATGACATTCCTAAAAGCTTTGTTAATATCTGAACTTATAAACCCGAACTTATAGCAATAGCATGTAATTTCCTTGATAACGTGCAGTTTTTGCATTGGTTGGTGCACCTGCCAAAAACAAAAAACAAAAAAAACGGCTTCATGATTTTTTTTTCTTACAGTTTAAGGTAGAATCACTACTTAAAAAAAAAAAAAAAAATCTTTCCTGGCATCCCCATATTTCTTGGTTAGTTTTCTTTTTGAGATGATTTTCCAAGCAGAAATAAAATTAGAGTCACTCTAAGTTTTACTGCTTGCCAACAGAGATACATGGAAGAGAATGAGGCTGCACTGTAATGGGGATGTTAGGGAGAGTGGTAAGGGTCTTCTAGGTCCATTTATCAGGATGACTTGCTCTCACTTTACATCTCAGCAAAATTACAAATTATTGCATGGTGTCACTGCAGTGTCATGATGTCACTGATGATGTCACACAGACACAACTGTCCAGGTTGATCCTAAATAGTGATGCTAAAAGGCTACTGTCATAGTTTCCAAGGTTGGATATTTATCAGACTCCCTAAATATATATATATATTTAAAGATTCATGGGCCCTTTTCTCAGATATTCTGACCCAGTTGGCCTGGAGGAGGGCCTGGAAACATGACTTTCCAAAGAGTATTCTGGGTATGCCATTCATTCAATATTATAATAATAGTAATATTTGTTGCTACAAAAACTTTAGTGTAATAAATAAAAAAACAAATAACATGGTTTGAGTTCTCAGGTGTTATGAATTGTTTTAAGAGACATACACATTATTCTATTTAATTCCGATAACAATCCTATGCGGGAGGTATTATTTCTATTTTACAGATGAAGAAACTGAGGCAGAGAATTGTTAAGTGACTTGCCTAACTTCATACAACTAAAGAGTGGGGCTGGGATATGAACCCAGGAATCTGATTTCAAAGCCTGTATCCTTAACCACTATACTAGCCAATATTCAATAGTCAGCAACCATCCATCCAGCAACAGTTATTAAGTAAATACTTATAGAGAAACAAACATTAAAAGAATTAAGATCAATTCAGATATTGTAAGTGCTGCTATGAAAATAGGAAAAAGGTGACACTGTATATGTGGGAGAGTAATTTTAAAGACAGTGGTAAGGCAAAAATCTCTCTGAGAAAAAGACATTTGAGTGGAGACTTAAATGATGAGATGACAGGCAACATGGACAGAGGAACAGCCAGTGCAAAACTCCTATGCAGGGAGCAAGCCTGATGTGCTTGAGGGAGAAAAAGGCCAGTGTGGCTTAAGAAAAGCAAAATGACAAGCTCGAGTTGGATGGTATAGAGGGCCCAGACCCTATGCTTTGGAGTCAGACTCTGTGCTTTGAATTCCAGGTTGGCCACTTACTAGCTGTGTGATTTGGATAAGTTACTTAACCTTCCTATTACACTCTTGCTTTGTAAAATAAGGTTAATAATAGTTTCAACCTCACAGGACTGTTGTGAAGATTACATCAGTTAATATATGCAAAGCACCTAACAAAGTCTTTGGCATATAGCAAGTGCTCAATAAATGCTAGCTAGCATAGGCTACAATAAGGAGTTAGGACTTCCCTTTCCCTTTCCATTTTCTGTTCCCTTTCCCTAAGAGGCAAGATCTCACTGTGTTGTCCAGGTTGGAGGGCAGCGGCTATTCATGGGTGCGATCCCACTGCTGACCAGCATGAGAGTTTTCACATGCTTTGTTTCTGACCCGGGCTGGTTCACCCCTCCTTAGGGCAATCTGGTGGTCCTTCACTCCCGGAGGTCACCATACTGATGTTGAACTTAGCGTGGACACCAGATTGCATAGCGTACTATAGCCCAGAACTCCTGGACTCAAGTGATCCTCCTGCCTCAGCTTCCTGAGTACCTGGGACTACAGGCATGCACCACCACATCCAGCAGGAGTTTGGACTTTTAATTACAACAGGCAGTCATTGGGAGGTTGTGGGTCAGGAGAGACATGATACGAATTACCAAACAAACAAACAAACAAACTGTCTGCTTATGGACAATACACAAGAGAGATCAGCAACAGGGGATATGCATTAGAAAGCTGATAAAAAATGGTTTGGCCAGGTGCGGTGGCTCACACCTGTAATCCCAGCACTTTGGGAGGCCGAGGTGGGTGGATCACCCGAGGTCAGGAGTTCAGGACCAGCCTGGGCAACATGGTGAAACCCTGTCTCTACTAAAAATACAAAATTAGCTGGGCGTGGTGGCGTGCGTCTGTAATCCCAGCTACTTGGGAGGCTGAGGCAGGTGAATTGCTTGAACCCCGGCAGTGGAGGTTGCAGTGAGCCGAGATCACGCCATTGCACTCCAGCCTGGGTGACAGAGCGAGACTCCATCTAAAAAAAAAAAAGAAGAAAAAAAAGGTATGATTTGCAACATACTCTGATGGAAGGGCAAAGAGGACTGCTAATGGTTTGGATGTTAGAGGTGAGAAGAAAAAAAAAGGAACCAAGGATAGGTCTTAGGTTTTGTGCCTGACGAGCTAGGCAGATGGATGGCGATGCTATTCTCTAATATGGAGAAGGCTGGGAAGAAAATAGGCTGGGAGGGGAGAGTTGAGAGTTTGTTTTTCACATTTTAAGTTTCATACAGCCTTAAAAATTTAGGTGATGCTATCAGTGGCACTTGGGCATACTAGGGTGTACAGGGTGTGTAAGTCCGTTCTCACGCTGCTATGAAGAAATACCTGAGACTGAATAATTTATAAAGGAAAGAGTTTTAATTGACCTACAGCTCAGCATGGTTGCAGAGGCCTCAGGAAACTTACAATTATGGTGGAAGGGGAAGCAAACACATCCTTCTTCACATGGCAGGAGGAAGGAGAAGTGTGGAGAGAAAGGGGGAAACTTGTAAAACTATCAGATCTCATGAGAACTCACTCACTATCACGAGAACAGCATGACGGTAACCACCACCATGATTCAATTACCTCCCACCAGGTCCCTCCCACAACATGCAGGGATTATGGAAACTACAATTCAAGATGAGATTTGGGTGGGGACACAGCCAAACATTATCACAGTATAAAGCTCAGGGGAGAAACTAAGGCTAGTTTTGGAATCACCAGCCTATTAAAAAAATTTTTTTCCTATCTCTCTTGGTGCATTACTATAGAACAGGTACATAACGTGCCTTCGAAAAGAATAACTAAGGCATGCTGCATTACAGCAAAAAGAGGAAAACATCAAGCATCATGGATGGGATTCCTGTCTCCAACTGCTGTTTAGGGTTTCCTGAAGAAGACTTAATGTCTTAGTATGTAAGTGTTCCCCAATTATAAATAGAGACTATATGTGACCTCTAACCTCAATGAATAATGTGGCCCCATAGGAGTGATTGTCTCTTTTTATCTTCTTGATTCTAAGTACATTAAAGAGGGAAGATATGTTTTTCCCTCTTCTGCTTCTTTCTCTTCTTATATATGACTGCTATCAATGTAATTTATCAATTGTATACTATCGGCCAATTTTGGATAGGTGTGTATCAAGAAAAAATTTTATTATTGTTTTATATATTTTAAGCAATTAGATGTGTAATATTGTCTAAATATGTGCTGTTCTTGGTATTATAACATACATACATACATTTTATTTATTTATGTATTCATTCATTCATTTATTTATTTAGTGATGGGGTCTTGCTCTGTTTCCTGGGTTAGAAAGCAGTGATCTGATTATGGCTCACTGTAACCTCGAACTCCTGGACTCAAGCGATCCTCCCATCTCAGCCTCCTGCATGGCTAGGACTACAGGTGTCTGCCACCATGCACAGATAATTTTTAAATTTTATTTTATTTATTTTTTTAAGACCAGGGTCTCGCTATGTTGTCCAGCTTAGTCTTGAACTCTTGGCCTCAAGTGATCTTTCTGCCTTGGCCTCCCAAAGCACTGGGATTACAGGCATGAGCCACCACACCTGGTGCTATTACAACTAAAAAATTGCCTTGGATTTTTAAAGAAACAAATGGGTATACATTTTTTAAAAAGATAATAAGCAGATGAAGATAAAACTCATCTAAGAAAACCTGGCCTTTTAAAAATAATCACAGGAAAAATAGTATAAAAAAGTAACATTTAGCACATAGTACCATTAATTTCTATTTGAGTTGTGTCAAAATAAACAACTATTTCATCACGAAATGACAGAATACTGAGATGGCAATATAAAAAAGAAAAAAGAGGCCAGGCATGGTGGCTCATGCCTGTAATCCCAGCACTTTGGGAGGCCGTGGCAGGCGGATCATAAGGTCAAGAGATTGAGACCATCCTGGCCAACATGGTGAAACCCCGTCGGTACTAAAAATAAAAAAACTAGCCGGGCGTGGTGGCATGTGCTTGTAGTCCCAGCTACTCAGGAGGCTGAGGAAGGAGAATCACTTGAACCTAGGAGGCGGACGTTGCTGTCAGCCAAGATCATGCCACTGCACTCCAGCCTGGTGACAGAGCAAGACTCTGTCTCAAAAAAAAAAAAAAGAAAAAAGAGAAGAATATTAAAAGTATCAGTCAGTATATATCACAATACAGACCTCCTAATAAAAGTAAGGACATGTCTGGCTTCACTTTTTTATAGATAGATATCCTTCTGAACTATGAATAATCTGAAAAAACTATTTTGGGAACATGTAATGAACTATTCCATATCTCTCCTAAAGCAGTGATGCTTGTCGTCATTAAGGAGGCTTTCCTATTGCAATGATAATTTTCCAAACAGATTATAAATTCCATGAGAACAGGAGTTATGCCTTCCTTATATTTCACTTTATTTCTCTTTTCATATCACACAGAATTACGCATACAAAAAAATGAAGTCAGTATAATACATAAAATCTCATTACAGATCAGCATTAACAGATGAACATCTGCAATTGATTTTGATGACTAGGAATGCTAACTTGAACCCTGATGAAATGATATGTCACTTCCCCAAAACCAATTCTATTCTTCTCATTAGTAGACCTGTATTACAAAAAAAAATTATATGGTATTATGTTTTGGATTGCAACAATAAAATTTTGTGAAGTTTGCTTCCTTTTTGTTATACACATACTTTCACAACCATCTTGATTTTGCCTACTGACCTGCAAAGTCAAAAGTACAGTTGTCCCTCGGGAGATTGGTTCTAAGACCAGCTCCCCGGTTTGCAGCTACCAAAATCTGTGGCTATGGCCTTTGTTCCACATCCCTTGAATATTGTACTTTCAATCTAGAGTTGGTTGAACCTGAAGACTGAGAACCCACAGATCTACAGAGTCAACTATATTTACTATCTGGTCCTTTACAAGAAAAGTTTGCTGACCCCATGACATGGTTAAGTCATGCGAATATAAAGAAGGGGCAACCAACCCATCTTTTACAGGCAGTAGGCAGTTAACATCAAAGAATGTTTCCTAGAAGCAGTGATGTAGGGGTGGGACCTGAGTTAGCTGGGCAAAGAAGGTGGAGACTGGAGGAAGAGTAGTCCAGGCAGAAAGAAAAGCATCTACAAAAGCCTGAAAGCAAAAGTCACCACATTTAGAAAACTGAAAGGTGTTCAGGATGGTTGGAACCAAGAGAGGATAGAAAGAGCGGCCAAATGTTGCTGTGAGGTCAAGGAAGACTAGGACTGAAAAGGGAGCCTTGAATTGGTAAGAGTCTCAGTGGACTGGTGAGAGAAGAAATGCAATGGGTTAAGGAGAAAACGGAAGACCCAGAGATAGTAAGAAAGAAAAAGGAGCAGCTAGAGGAGGATATGAAGCAGAGTTTTCTTCAAAGATGGGAAAGATTTGAATGTTTTGGTTAAATGCTAAGGGCAGACGGCCCTAAGGACAGGGAAGGGAGTCAGAGTAAAAATGGAAGGATTAGCTTTAGAAGGAAGCAGTATACCTCTTCCATTGTTACCAAAGGGCAGACAAAAAGCTTGGCATGGATTCAGGGAAGTTTTTAGCTATAGTAACAGAAAATTGAGGAAGTTCTCTTATGATGGCATTTACTTGTTCAATGAAGTAGACAGAAAAATACAATTTTAGAAGACAGGGAAAGTTTTAAAAAGCCATGGTTGCAGATTGGGGAAGAGAAAGGAGATGAAGCCTGTGAAGATTACTGGACAGACCTATGGACCCAGTTAGGGAACAGGCTAACTTTTAGCAGCATGAGTTCATGGAGGCATGAGGTTTCTTCCAGCAGCACTAGGCAGCCTGGCTGGAGGCTCACAAAGGGTAAACACTTGCACTGATCCAGGGCTGGGCTTTCGTTAGACGGGTTTGGCAGAATACCCAATGGGATAAAGCAGTTGAGAGCACCAGCAAGCGAGTGGATGAATGGATGGACCGTGGCGTCTAACAGGAGTAGGGATGTAAGCACTCCTCTCAGATAGAAGTGCTTAAGGATAGAAGTACTTAGGGATGCAAGGCTCAATGAGGTTAAAAAACAAAAATAAAAAGCAAATGAAATGGGAGTAACTTGAGTGGGAACAATGAATGAATAAGGGGTTCTTGCTGAGAATGAGATCTGAATTTAAGTTTTTGGAGCTGGAGTAGGGTAGACTCCCTACTCCAGCTTCAAATGTAGGTGAAATTAGTGGAGGTGAAGGTCACTGCAGATAAGGAGACTCGAGTTAGAGTCAAAATGGCCAAGGCTCCACTCAGCTTCCAAAGAACAGAATATGGAGTCTCTTGAGAAAATATTTGCACCCCAGGGTTTCTAATGACATGACTTCAGGGTCATTTCCCAGCAGTCAATTTTCAGAGTATTCAAATGAAGTTAACTTGTTCCATCTCAGACCTGTGTGCTCCCTCTCTCCTCTTTACTCTGGTCATGCTTGTCAGATCTTTCTGGGACAGCAGAATGTGAGGAACACAGGGCAGATATCAGACTGGATTCAGGAATCCTCACTTAAGGTAATCCTGACACCTGCTACAACATGGATGAACCTTAAGGACATTATGCTAAGCCAGTCCAAATAAAAGGACATTATGCTAAGCCAGTCCAAATAAAAGGACATTATGCTAAGCCAGTCCAAATAAAAGTCCAAATAAGCCAGTCCAAAAAAAAAAAAAAAAGACAAATACTGTATGATTCCACTCAAATGATGTACTTAGAGTAGTCAAATTCGTAGAGACGGAAAATAGAACAGTGCTTGTCAGGAGCTGGAGGGGGGAATGAGGAGTTATTGCTTAATGAGTACAGAGTTTCTTTCTGTTTTATAAGATGAAAAGAGATGTGGATATGGTGGTAATAGTTGCTCAACCATCTGAATATATTTAATGCCACTGAACTGTACATTTAAAGATGGTTAAGATGGTAAATTTCATGTCATGTATATTTTATCACAATTTGTAAAAACTGAAAAAAAAAAAAAAAAAGAGGCTGGGCACAGTGGCTCATGCCTATAATCCCAGCACTTTGGGAGGCTGAGGCGGGTGGATCACTTGAGCCCAGGAGTTTGAGACCAGCCTGGCCAACATGGTGAAACCCCGTCTCTACTAAAAATACAAAAATCAGCCAGGTGTGGTGGCACACGCCTGTAATCTCAGCTAGTTGGGAGGCTGATGCAGGAGAATCACTTGAACCAGGAAGCAGAGGTTGCAGTGAGCTGAGATCATGCCACTGCACTCCAGCCTGGGTGACAGTGAGACTCTGTTTACAAAAAAAAAAAAAAAAAAAAAAAAAAAAAAGGCCAGGCAAGGTCGCTCAAGCCTATAATCCCAGCACTTTGGGAGGCCGCCGAGGTGGGCGGATCACCCAAGGTCAGGTGTTCGAGACTAGCCTGGCTAACATGGTGAAACCCCATCTCTACTAAAAATGCAAAAATTAGCTGGGCGTGGTGGCAGGCACCTGTAGTCCCAGCTACTCGGGAGGCTGGTGCAAGAGAATGGCATGAACCCTGGAGGCGGGCTTGCAATGAGCTGAGATAGCGTCACTGAACTCCAGCCTGGGTGACAAAGCAAAACTCTGTCTCAAAAACAAAAACAAACAAACAAACAAAATCCCCTTCCCCGCCAGCCATTAGGTTTCTTCCGGACTCCATACAAAGGATTATGGTTAGCTGCATTTGTGCAGGTCCTGGCTTCCCCAACCCCCATAAATCCTGGGCCCCTCTTAAGGAATTTTTTTTTTTTTTTTTTTTTGAGACAAGGTCTTGTTCTAACTCTCAGGCTGGAGTGCAGTGGTGTGATCACAGCTCACTGCAACCTCAAACTCCTGGGCTCAAGCAATCCTCTTGCCTCAGCCCCCGGAGTAGTTGAGACTGCATGTGCATGCTACCACACCTGGCTAATTTCTACATTTTTAGTAGAGATGAGGTCTTACTATGTTGTCTAGGCTGTTCTGGACGTCCCGGGCTCAAGTGATCCTCCCACCTTAGCCTCCCAAAGTGCTGGGATTATAGGCATGAGCCACTGTGCCTGGCAGGAATTTTTAATCTGTCCTCTAGTCGGCCAAAAGGAATCTACTGAGTACCCGCTTTGTGCTGGGTACCCTGCTAGTATTGGGGATTATAGAGGCTTAGCACGTGGTTCCTGTCCTCATGGTTTAGTGGGCAAACCAGCAAACAATCCAGCATAATAACTGCAGACAGAGAAAGCCACGAATGCTCCCATCCCTCACCACAAACACTGTGGTCTTGGCAACAGCAGGACCACCAGCAGCAGCAGCAGCTGGGAGCTTGTCAGAAATGCAGAATCTCAGGCCTCACCCACATCACCTGAATCAGAGTTGGCATCTTAATAAGATCTCTGGGTAATCCACGTACACGTTCAAGTTTAAGGTGCACTGCTACAGAAGACAGAAATAGGGTGACCAACTGTGCTAGTTTGCTTGGGATTGAAGGGCTTCTTGGGATGTGGCATCTTTAGTGCTAAAACTGGGACAGTCCCAGGGATTGAGGGGGTAATTTAGTCTTTGCTCCTGAACTTGGAATACATTAAAATCCTGACGGGGGGGGAGGGGGGGAAGAAGAGACCGGCTAGGACATTGAAAGATTTGTTTTAGAAGTTCATGTCCTTTCTTAAAGATTCTGATAGGAACTCTCATCAGGAATCATTAAACAAAGATGTCAGATAAGCATCTAAGTTCTTATATAAAAACCTTCACCCCATGGGTGGGAATATCATCACTTAAAAGAGAGAATAGAGTATATATATAAAAAAAGAGAGCTTAGGAGTCAGCTTTCAGAATCTTTAACACCTGAAGGTTTAATCGAAGATAAACTATTCGAGATGAAGAGGAGCTGCCCAAAGAGAAGACAAAATTGAGGGGAGTATAGTATCACAGAAACCGACAGAAGAGAAGGGGGTGTGTGTGTGTGTGTGTGTGTGTGTGTGTGTGTGTGTGTTTAAAGATAGGGGCTTGCATCTGGGCGCCGTGGCTCATGCCTATAATCCCAGAACTTTGGGAGGCCAAGGCGGGTGGATCACCTGAGGTCGGGAGTTTGAGACCAGCCTGACCAACATGGAGAAACCCTGTCTTTACTAAAAATACAAAATTAGTTGGGCATGGTGGCGCATGCCTGTAATCCCAGCTACTTGGGAGGGGGAGGCAGGAGAATAGCCTGAACCCGAGAGGCGGAGGTTGCGGTGAGCTGAGATCGCACCATTGCACTCCAGCCTGGGCAACAGGAGCAAAACTCCGTCTCGAAAAAAAAAGGGGGTCTTGCTCTGTGGTCCAGGTTGGAGTGCAGTGGCATGATCCTATCTTCCTGCAGCCTTGGCCTCCTGGGCTTAAGTGATCCTCCCACCTCAACCTCCCAAGTAGCTGGGACTACAGGTGTGCACCACCACACCTAGCTAATTTTTAAATTTTTTTAGTATAGACGTGGTCTTGCTATGTTGCCCAGGCTGATCTCCAACTTCTGGGCTCAAGAGATGCTCCCACTTCAGCCTCCCAAAGTGCTAGGATTACAGGTGTGAGCTACCGTGCCCAGCCGTAAGAGAGTTTTAAGAGGAGTAGGTAATCTTAAAATACTGTTAAGTAGGCCGGGCGCGGTGGCTCAAGCCTGTAATCCCAGCACTTTGGGAGGCCGAGGCGGGCGGATCACAAGGTCAGGAGA